GAATACAAACTGCAATGGCAAACTATGGTCAAGTGCCAACAGATGTACAAATGCAAACTGCCATGTCAAATGACGCTGCGTTAGGTTTGCCACCATGGTATGCAAATATGAGATGGAAAGAGTTTTATACAAACCCTGAAGTGGGATATAAACAACTCTATGCAGATGACGCGAACACAGGAGTTGACCCAGAATATGTTTTCTACCAGAGGAGAAATAGAATGTATGAGCTCCAGTTAAAAAATGCTATGGAACTCAGAAGGAAACGTAAGAGACTAGGCGGACATTAGATTTTTACATATAGTAAAATGGGTTTCTTCAGTAGTATTGGAAACTTCTTTCGAAATGTTGGAAGAGGTATATGGAATGGAATAAAAACCGTAGGAAGAGGAATTTGGAACGGAGTCAAAAATATTGGTAAAAGAGTAGGTCAGTTCGTTGGTATTATACCTAAAGACCCTGAACCAGAAGAACAAGCTCCTGTTATACAACAGCCTGAACCTGCACCACAGTCTAGTTGGCAACCAAATCCAACACCTCAACCGTATTAAAATTATATTTTTACCGTTCGATAGTAGTTGTATATGAAACTAAGTTCTAAGTAAAACGCGTGGTATAATGGAACTATTCTCTTTCTTCCATCTGTTGTAAACCATACTTGAAAGTCTGAAATACTTCCACTCGGCGGTTCATATAGCTTTGTAGGTTTTTCGTAAAAGTCATTTGCCAAGCATAAGAAAGAGTTTTGGGCGCCAGAAAATGAAGCATGAACAATAATAGCAGCTGGGTCGAAAACATTTTCATATGTTCCATTAGGGTTTTCGACTTCATAAAAGTTCGGGTGTACTGGATATTCTGCAGGCTGATTTAACATCCTCAAAAATCTATACCATGCCAAGTTGTTATATTTTGTAGAAATATAAACGTCTTCTCCAAGGTCTTCTATTCTATTGATTTTAACAGTTGCATTTTTCCTGTCATATAAAATATCGAGATGGTACTCTCCTTCGTCAATGTTAAACTGGTTTGCATATTCGAGATAGATATCGTTTATTTTTCTTGAAAAGCTTGAAGAGTTGTTTCTAAGTTTACAAGCAAATTCACTTGTAAAAGTTTTCCCTGTTCAAATTTCTCATACGTACGTTTCTCTTTGTTATAGTATCGAATTTCAAAAGCGACCGTAAATGGGAAACCATGTATGGCTTCTGAAATGAACTTCATTCTACGAAAGCCAATAGCTTTTGTGACGGATGGGTCTCTTAACCATCTTAGTGGGTAGTCAAAACGATAGCCTTCATGCTTTACGGTCTCTGTCTCAAACTTTTGACCTACATTCGTAAAAAGTTCATCTAATGGTTTAGTTGTAGCAACTCTTGAATTTTCTTTTTCTATTGAAAGCATTTTTTATCTAGAATAAAAATGTCGAAAGAAACAGCGTCTATGAGAGAAATACAACACAACCGACAACTCATTGTGCAAGCTCTAAATAAGAACACAACAAACTTTTCAAACTATTCTAAGATATCTGAGTCATTGAAAGAAGGAAACTTAAAACTGACATTAAACCCTTTAACAGACGAGTTTCTGTTTCAAGACAGTAAGAACCATACTGTTTGTATAAATCCAACAAAAAGAACTTTAAACGAGAAACCTATAGATGAACTTCTTTTGAAAGCAGATGTTGACAACAAAGCTGACAAAGAATATGTCATTGAAAAAGTTCAAGAAGAACATGACAGAGCAGATGCAACATATGCAACGAAAGAACATACTCATCCTGAACTAGCGGACAAAACATATGTTGACAATAAAATGTCAAGTGAAGTGACAAGAGCTGACAAAGAATATTCTAAAAAGACTCATACACATACCATTGCAAATATTACAAACTTACAAGAAACCTTAAACAGGAAAAGTGACGTTGGACATACACATACCATTGCAAATATTACAAACTTACAAGAAACCTTAAACAGGAAAAGTGACGTTGGACATACACATACCATTGCAAATATTACAAACTTACAAGAAACCTTAAACAGGAAAAGTGACGTTGGACATACACATACATCTTCTGAAATAACAGACTTAAACGTTAGCCTTGAAAAGAAGGCAGATAAGAACCATACACACGATTTCTTCGCAACTGTTGGTATAGAAAATATTGAAGGAACGGTTGAAGAAACTGGTGGGGATGCATTATATTGGAAACCTCCTAACTTTCCACAAGGTTTAACATCGGATGAAGACATAACGACGATGAAATACACTAGATGTAGAAATGTCTATGTCATGGAGGATGAAAACAATGTTAAATTCACTGCTCAAGATTTATATGATAAAAAAGCTGACAAAACAGAGCTTCAAACGTTAAAGATTGAAATACTTCAAACACTATATCCTATAGGTTCTATTTACACGTCAATGAACTCTACCAGACCAGAAGTAGTACTTGGTTTTGGAACTTGGACTCAAATAGTCGACAGGTTTTTGTATTGTGCAAACTCTTCAAAGGAAACAGGTGGAAGTAAAACGATTTCAGGTGAAAACTTACCTGCGCATAGTCACTACATAGATTTAAGTACATCTCAAGCAGGTTGGCATAAGCATAGATTTTGGGATTGGTCAGCAATGAAAAAAGGTAAAGGATATGATGTTAAAGACAACGTTCAGTTTGCTATAAATTGTTTCTGGGGTAGCACACAGGGAGAAGGAAACCATACACATCGCGTTTCAGGGTATACGCAAACAACGGGACAAAGTAAAGACTACATGCCACCTTACATGACAGTTTACGCATGGTATAGAAATGCTTAGTCGTCATTTTCAACTTCTTTAGCATATTCGTCAGGAGTTGTCTTATATTTGTTAGGAACTGTCTTTGAAAGTATACCACCTTGAACTTGACAAGTTTGAAACGAGGTCTGACAATAGTAGTTTTATCTTTTGCTTGCAGTCTGTACATTTTGCCATGTTTGCCTAAAACTTCATAATATTCTCTTGTATACTTTCTTCTATTTTTACGAACACGAACGTGAGTACCTGTCGAGTTCCCATTGTTGTCATAGTCAATAGTATTTTCATATGGGTCGCGTTTAGGTATTTCTATTTTTACTTTGTCACCTTTCTGAAGTTTGAAGCCTGGCATTCTTTCTTGTTTGTCTCTTTTGACTAAACTATTAAATATATAGTCTTTCTCTAAGTCAGGGTTGTTTTTCATTTCTTCGGGGGAGTGGTTTCCCAAACCTTTTTGTTTACGGGTATTGTAAATATTTAAAACTTGTCTCATCTTTGCCATGGAGAAGTGTCTATATTTGTCGTCATATGACATTTCATTTACTTCACCACCTTGTGGTTGGTTTAAGTCTCTTAAGATTTTTATACAACTGTCAATGACACCAAGAGCAGAATGGTTTTGGTCGACAATGAAATATTGGTTTACATTTTTTGAACGCAGATAGTTTTTAATATCGTCTGATTTGAAAGAACTTTCACAGTCAGATGTCAGTTTTGTTGGATGGTATTTGTCAACGAATATTGTCAAAGCAGTTTTCACATCTAAAATATTTTTGGACCATAATGGTATGGCTTCACAGTATCTTGTGTTTTGACCAACAAATATTAGCCAGTATGGTGGTCCATCTTCTCTATATCTCGGAATGTTTTCCAAGATATCCATAAACCAAGCATTTGGTGTTGAACTAAAGATTTTTACCATGAGTGCTTTCTTTGTTGCTTTAGAAACATACGGGTCCTTGTTTGAATTCGTCATTTTTAACCCATAAGAAATGGGTTTATTTGGCGCATTAGCAGGAGTCGCATCTAGATTTTTGCCAGCAGTGGGAACAATAGCCAGAGGTGCATTTGGAATTGGAAGGAAGATTTTGAGTACATTAGGTATACTGAAAGAGAAAGCACAACCTATTATACAAACTGTACAGAAAGGTTGGGATGTAGCACGAGATGCAGCAAATCTTATTCCAAATCCTGAAACAAGAGGAAAAGTTCAAGGATGGATGGACAATGTAGGAAGACAAGCAGGAAACTACTATAACAAAGCAAATGACTACTATAACCAAGCAGGACACTATATGGACCAAGGTGAAAGATTCTTTAACAGAGGATATAACCATGCACAACAGTGGGTAAACAACAACCAACCTCAACCGCCTCAAACGTGGGGAATGTAAAATTTTTTACTGAGATGAAATGAACAATACAGCATTGAGACAAATGGGCTCAAGATGGATTTGTCGGCTTCCAGCAGTTACACAACCACGTGTTTGTCAAGTTCTTCCTATACCTCAGGAAGTTTTAGACCGACTTAAAAAACCTCAACAACCAGTTGAAAACAAACCAAACTAAAATTTTTTACTGAGATGAAATGACCGAAGAAGTTGAAACGGTAGATTTGACACCACAAACAAAAAGTTCAGAACCATTGTCAAAACCTGTCAAAGAACTTACAGATGAAGAGAAAAATTCAATAATAGAAAGTGTGAGGTCTGGAAATACAAACCCTAACTACAAAGTCACTTTTCATAAAAATGGAACGGCAAGTATCTCAAAAAAGAAACAGACTCTCACAAATAAAATATTGAAGTCTGAAGGAACTTTCGAGACAACAGATGGAAAAGTTTACTTCACTGACCAACAGTTCATTATAGAACATCTCATTGACTTAGAGTCGAAATATTCTAAACTTTACAACAAACACAAAAAGTTGAAAGGAAAACAGAAACAAATGGCATATGACATTTATGAAGATGTTGACGACACAACTGTTCCAGCAAGTGAGGTAAAGTCAGATGAACCGAAAAGTGACGAAAAACCAATAGAAGAAGGGAAGCCAAAAACTGAAGATAAACCAAAACCAAAGGTTAGTTTCCAAACTAAACCAAGTCAACCTTCATTAGCTGGTATGGGTTGGCGTCAAAGACTTTTGGCAGCGGGTGGTTACGTAAAGTAAAGAAAAAAACATTTTTTTATTTTTATAAAAAATGCCCCCGTATAGAATGGATAGAAGGTCTGCTAAAATAAAAGCAGAGTTAGAAAGATATGGCTGGAGAGTTTCAAAGAAGTTTAAATATAGGAAGGGAAAGCCAATAAAAGTCTATGACAAACTGGCTGGTCTGACCTATGAAATGGACTTGGAAACAGCACGCACAAATTATCCAAACAGACTTGAGAGGTTAGAAGAAGAACGTCTTATGGACATGCCTTTCGATGTTAATGAACCTCAAGTTGAAGGACACGACGGCTTTGCCAGATTCTACTGGAAACATGACGAACAATTGCATCCTTTGAGGAGGAAAAAAGGAAAAGGTGAAGACGCACATGCTCCCATGGAAAGAACAAGATATGCATATGAAAAGTATCGTGAAGTTAGAAGTCAAATTACATCTGGTCGAACCTTTACAGTAAATTTTGAAGAAGGAAAGAACAAAGAAGGCTTCATGGGTGTACTTGCTGCCATACAAGACGGAAATAAGAAAGGATACAATCTCAGACTAACCGTAACAGATTTAGATGGTCATATATACTATGCACATGGCAATGTCACAACAGCCGCACAACTTCTTGACGCTTTTAAGACTACAAAGAGAGAACAAATGTTTGACTCCGACTCAGATATTTTGAATGCAATTGAAGGAATTGCAAGCGTGAAGTTTGAATGGTACCAACCTAACCCTCAAGCAGTCAGACAACATGCTGGATACTTCCCGTTCATAAACAAGTCTGACATTGACTTAACAAGGTATGGAATTTACAATTCAATTGAAAAAATTGTCAATGAACCTTGTATTCTTACATGTCTCAGGAACTCTGGTCTTGTTACAGATGAGAAGATGAAGTATCTTGAGTCATGTGTGAAGACAAGATACATTCTCAGAAGTCAATTGACAAAAATTGCACCGTTGGCAAATGTGAATATCCGAGTCAACATACCGACTGAGAAAGGTTCTTCACATGACGACTATGTTGTTGACTTCAAATTGCCATGGTTGAAGATTGTACTTGTCCACAACCACTTCATGTTGAACGAAAGTCTTACAAACCCATTGTTCGGAAAAGGTAAGTGCAACATTGTCAGAGCTGTTAACATTCTTTTCGAGAAAGGTTTGTTGGAACCAATTCCAGATGACAAGCTGACAGAAACTTTTGTACCAAAAGACGAAACAAACTTTTCATTGTTAGCAAGACCAAAAGTTGTTCCAGACAAAGTTATAGCACAAAAGAAGTACACAGTTCCAAAAGGAGTTGGATTGTTCGGATACCAACCTGAACCAGAAGAACTTCCAATGAGGTTGCAAGAACTTCAAGATGCTATAAACAAACTTCCATTGAGACATCCAGTCGACGTCAAATTGTATTGGAGAGCATCTGAGTTAGGTCAGAAAATTTTATATGAAACAGGTTGCTTCGACGATGTTTATGAGATAACAGGCGAGGTTTCTCAGAAGATAAGAGACTCACTTGAATTTCCACAAACTGGGCCGATTGGATGCGACAAGTTCGACTCATATGAAAAGATATACTATGTCGACCTTAACGCTGCGTACATGAGGTTCGTCCAATATATCCCGACTGGAATTCCAAACGAAGACGGTGAGTTCCCGGGAAAGAACTATACAGTTGGAAAAGTCATACAACAACTCTATGATATTAGGAAAGCTTCAAACCCCAAACTTGCAATGACAATCAAATTGCTTATGAATTCGACATGGGGATATTCCATTAAAAAACCTCAAAAGATGAAGAGTAAACACTATGAGAAGGTCGACAACTTTGTTGAAAGGTTCTCCCCCTTTGTTTTGAAGTACGAGTTCACCGAAGGTCAAGGTGGCTTAGTAACCACAGTAAAACCTATTGTCGAACATTGGTCTTATCCTCAGTTCGCAAAGGCAGTCCTTGACAACTACAACAAATTTTTCTCAGAGGTTAAATCCAAAGTGAAGGTATACTATGAGAACATCGATGCACTCATGACGAACGAGGAAGGCTATAACAAACTCATTGAAATGGGTTTAGTCGGTGAAAAGATGGGCTGTTTTAAGCTAGACAAGGTATTTTCCGAAGTTCATGTCCTCTCCAAGCGTAAGTATTGGGGTGTTAAAGAAGATGGTGAAATAGTTAAACATTGCATGAAATAAAACATTGCATACCATTTTAAAACATTTTTAAAACAGTATATTTTTACATATATAAAATGCTTCAGGTTGAAAAACAAAGAACAAAAGTAGCAGATACAAAACCGTTAGACTATATCTTTACAAACGCTGGTAGAAATATTTCAGATGAAGAAATTTCATCCGGATCTTACAGATTTGACTATCCAATTCGTTGGCTTCAAAGTCCTTCAGATGCAAAGGCAATAGGATTTAGAAGAGTTTTGTTTTCAAATAGAACTAACGCGTTTATGTTCGCAGTATATTTTCATGGGCAGTATAAAGGTTCTGATGGTCTAATAGAAAAATTTGACGAAATGAGAATCTTTACAATTCGTTCAGACGAAAGTCTTGAGAAGACTCTAAATGACTTTCAAACTCAAATAAACAAATACTACTGGGAATTTCAAGAAAAATACCACTCTTTACTAAATGGAACATACTATCTGAAACTAGAATACGATAAGATGAATTCCACAGTTTCATTTCAAAGGATTGAAAATAACCCTCCAAGAGATACAGAGTTTTTATATTGGGGGTGGACAGACGTTCTTGGGCACAATTTCTTCGGTTACTAAACCAGAACGAACCATTGCCACCTGACGGTCCGTTTAAATTTATACGTCCACCAGCAGATTTGACAGTTTATAGAAACGTGTTTGACCCTCAAAATGTCATGTGTCATGCAAGTTTCAGTTCAAGCAACAACAGTTTTCTGTGTATCGGTAAGGACTTTTATGACTTTGCTTCTAAATTCTACGAACCACCTAGTAACAGTTTCTCTGACTTTCAATTTTGGTTCACAACAAACGGTGTGCAGCATATAATTCCATTGTACTATGACTTTTATCTCGAATTGTCTTTCATATACAACTACGGAAAAGTGCTGAAAAAGTATTGAAAAATATATTTTAGGTGAAGAGGTGAGATCTCACCTCTTTTCTCACCTCTTTTTTCACCCGTTGAATTTTGTATAAAAAAGCAACCGTCGGAATTCCGGCGGTTGGTATATTCTTCACAAAATGCTTGTTTTGAGGTTAAGCCACAAACGAATGTCCGACGGTTAAGCCACAAACGAATGTCCGACGGTTAAGCCACAAATATTTTTTATTTTTATTGTAAGAACAGTATGACAGTCGAAGCAAAAACGTTCACGAACAAATCTAATGGCGAAACATTCACAAAAGGCACCTATAACGGTATTGAAGTCTTACGTAGAGACAAGGATGGTTATATAAATGTAACAAATATGTGTCAGCAGTTTAGGAAAGACTTTAGAAAGTTGTTGGAAAAAAAGTCCTGGGAAGAGTATTTTAAGGCATTTTGTGAAGAATATACCAACCGCCGGAATTCCGCGGGTTGCTTTTTATACAAAGTTCATGCAGGAATTCCCGATGAAATCAAACAGGTTAGAGGAACGTATGCAGACCCAAGACTCGTAAACTATATAGCAATGTGGGCTTCTCCAAAATATTGCATAGCAGTTGGAAAAAATTCTGGACTCCATAGACAAGAAAGTTCATGAGAAATTAGATGAAGAAGAACTTGAAGATACAGCAGAGAATGCTAAACCTTTGTTCGAAGAAGAAGTTAGAAAAATGCATGAAAAACAAATAGAACATGAACGTGAGATATGTTCTGGTTATAGAGACTCTCCATACGAACTAGACCAATGGGAACAAGAAGATTTAAAGAGAGAATTTAGAGAATATGAACTCGCTAAAGTTTCATTAGAAGCTGCAGAAGAGAGGTTAAAAGGTTGGGGTCCTTTTGTACAAAAATATTGTGAGTAAATGAACCATTTTATTTTTATTGAATTCGGCAAAAATATATTTTAGGGTAGATGGTTTTTAGGTGTCACTACGTCACCAGGTAATTTAAACTTCTCTGAAAAAGTGTGACAACATGACATTTTGACAACAACACAGGAAATAAACTTCATCGTCAATGTTTTGTATAAAAAGCACCCCGCGGAATTCCGCGGGGTGGTATATTCTTCACGAAATGCTTGTTTTGTCAAGACTTTCATCGTCAATGTTTTGTATAAAAAAGCAACCGCCGGAATTCCGGCGGTTGGTATATTCTTCACGAAATGCTTGTTTTGTCAAGACTTTCATCATCAATGTTTTGTATAAAAAGCAACCCGCGGAAAACAGCGGGTTGGTATATTCTTCACGAAATGCTTGTTTGTCAAGACTTTCATCGTAAATGTTTTGTATAAAAAAGCAACCGCCGGAATTCCGCGGGGTGGTATATTCTTCACGAAATGCTTGTTTTGAGGTCGAGTCACTTTGGCTCCACCGTAGAAAACACACAAAGCTCATTTTACTCAGCAAAAATATATTTTAGGTGAAGTGGTGAGATCTCACCTGTTTTCTCACCTCTTTTCTCACCTCTTGAATTTTCATGAATTTTCCCGAAATAAAATAAAAAGTTAGTTTTTTAAAAAAAAATATTTTTTATTTTTATTGTAAGAACATGTTAGCAACAACTTCACCAAACTCGTTAGTCATGAACCCAACATCTATGTTAGTAGAGATGAAAAGCTTCATTCCTTCTTCATATACTTTCGAAACAGAAATCCAGAAGATAAAGCAAGAACTTCTCCAAGGAGATTTAGACTGTAGTGCAAAAGATGAAACAAATGAAGAATATCTTTATGAAATGCAGGATATTATTGACCATCTACCTAAACTTCCTGAAATACAACAACAAAAGCTTACTATTCCTGAATTCGATGAAATAGAAGTCAAAGCAACTGACTCAGTAGAAACCAAGAAGTTCATACGTAAGGTAAACTATGAGTTTCTTGGATTTCATTGCAACCACAAAGTCATGGACAAAGATTGCGATATGTTATATAAGAACATCTCTGACATATACAAATCTGAAGAATTTAAGACCTACGACAACTTTGTTTCGTTAGTTGCAAAATGTGTATGGCAGATAAGAGATAAAGATAAAAGAGGTAAAGTATGGAACGAACAGATAAAACCAGCAACCTTTGAGTTAAAGAAAACCATTGACGCCTTAGTCATACTTGCAGGTTTTATTTCAATGTACAATGCTAAAATGAACCCACAATGTTCAAAATGTAAAGCAGCAATGAGGAAATATAACTACTCCGTCAAAGAGATAGAACGTATGCGAAACGACTATGCAGATTTAAAGAAAGAAGCAGAGAAACCAGCAGAAGATAAAATGGACATGTTGACATTTCTAAACAAAAACTATCCAACAGCTGACGATTTCCTTCTATCTGATGTCAAGAAGAAATATAAAGAAACATTCGGCATTGTGAAAACTTTTGACATACTGACAGAAGAAATAGAAGCTACAAAACTGTTTAGGATTTCAAATATACATCGTACAATTCATGTAAAACGCTTGTGAAAAAGAGGTGAGAAAAGAGGTGAGAAAACAGGTGAGATCTCACCTCTTCACCTAAAATATATTTTTGCTGAGTAAATGACCAAATTTCATGAATTTCCTCATATGTTTGCTACCCCGACTTTTTTCGGCCTTGCATAAAACTCTATGAAATCATGAAAAAATGACCAAATTTCATGATATAACTGTATTTTTTTGACGAAGTGAACTTTTACTCTTCGTAAAAAAAATCCCTGAAATCATGAAAAAATGACCAAATTTCATGATATAACTGTATTTTTTTGACGAAGAGAACTTTTACACTTCGTAAAAAAAATCCCTGAAATCGTGAAAAAATGCTACCCTCGGAAAACCGAGGGTAGAGATTCCATTCGAAAATCGTAAAAAAATGCGACCGGCGGAAAACCGCGGGTCGAGATTCCATTCGAAAATCGTAAAAAAATGCGAGTACGGAAAAAACCGTAGTCGCCTAAAACTCATGAAAATCGTGAAAAAATGCGAGTGGGAGAAAAACCCTGGTCGCCAAAACTCTATGAAAATCGTAAAAATTTGCGACCCCGGTTTTTTTCGGGGTCGCCTAAAACACATGAAAATCGTGAAAAAACTCTATGAAAACAGTGAAATTTCTCTAGACCGAGAATTCTCGGCCTTGCATAAAACTCATGAAAACAGTAAAAAAATCCCTGAAATCATATCTTTTATACAAGATAAAAAAATAGCGTTAGTTTTTATTTTTTTTATTTTTTTATTTTGTATGTAAGAACAGGAAATGACAAGCACTGAGTTTGAAACAGTTAGAAAGATAGACAATGACACCAAAGTGGTTAGAATAGGTGATTTAAACGTAAGATACTCAAAGAAATACAAAAAATATTCTTTGTCAGACATTTTAACACTATCTGAAGGAAAGAAAGCACACGACTGGGTTAAAAATGCTTCTACTCAGAAAATTTTGACAAAAAATCCTGAGCTGATGATATCGGTAAGATTCTATGGAACAAGAGCATATCTCATCGACAAAAGTCTTATACCAGTAGTTTTGTTCTGGATTGACCCAGTTGTTGGATATAATTTCATAACATATGGTTCATTCGATACGGAACGTTGCAGTGAAGGCTTACTTTACATCGTTCAGAAACCGAAGGACTTCAATACAAAGAGATATAAGATAGGAAGAACATTTAATATAACTCAAAGATATGACAGTATAGTCAATAGAGTTAAGGTTGCGTTTGTTAACGATATGAGAGCTGCTGAAACAGAACTACTTGAAAAGTTTGAGAAAATGTATGGTGCTCCCACGAGAGGTAAAGAAACGTTTGAAGTAGATGAGATCGACAAAGCTATAAAAGTATTTGACGAAGTTGCTGAAAAATACATGTAAAGCGTTTATTTTTGGTCTTTTATACAAGATAGAAAATAACGCTAGTTTTTTAAAAAATATTTTTTTTATTTTGTATGTAAAGACAGATATGACAACAACAGAGAACACAACAACTGCTATCGTTCATGAAGCCATAAGTGAAGAATACGAGTGGGTTCAGTTTAACAAACAGTTACGTCTCATTCGTTCGGTCAAAGATGACATGTACCAAATGCAAAGTATTTTGACGGCTTGTTTTGCTCCAGACACTAAACACGCAGACGACTGGTTCAAAAACCAAAGCACACAAGAACTTTTGAGTGAAATTCCTCTAGACCGAGAATTCTCGGCCTTGCATAAAACACATGAAAATCGTAAAAATTTGGCTCCTGCTTTGAGAGGTTGGTATGTACATAGACTTCTTGTAAATGCTGTTGCAATGTGGGCTTCGCCTCGTTATGCTTGGTATATTTACAGACTTCTTGACGAAATTCATAGACAAGAACGTGAAGAGATGGAAAGGAAACTTCAACAAAAGATGAAGTCATTGAAAAAGACAAAAACATACAGAAAAGAATACCACGTTCGGTACCAAAAGGAAAGGAAAAGAACTATAAGTATATGATTTACACTGAAGAGATGGAAAATGAAGAAGACAGAGATATGGTTATGTTGCATTTAGTCAGAAGAAACAACAAAAGCTTTTACGACCTTGCTAAGATTTACAAATCTGACAGAAATTGGTTCTATCGCGAAAACTTACCGATTTCAATGACACCAAATGAAGATGTTAAACAGATAGTTCAAGATACGTTACCTCAAACACACTATGATATGAAAGGTTGTACAATACTTACATTCAAAGAAGATTTGCCGCTACTGAAGGAAAAGATAACAGAGTATTTCGATAACTTCAAAGAGGAAGAGTAAATGAACCATTATATTTTTCAAGCTTGACACCAAAGATGGCTCAGGTAGCTCTAGATGGTAAATTGTCTTGTCCGAGTCCTTCTGGCATTCCGAGTCCTTCCTTCCAACAGGAAAAGTTTTTCCTTCCAACAGGAAAAAATTTCCTTCCAACAGGAAAAGTTTTTCCTTCCAACAGGAAAAAATTTTCCTTCCAACAGGAAAAAATTTTCCTTCCTACAGGAAAAAATTTTCCTTCCTACAGGAAAAAATTTTCCAGTTGTCCGTCCGTAAACCATTCAAATTTTCGAAAATTGAGAACTTTTTGGCCGGCCTTCAGGAAAAATTTTTCTTTCCGACAGGAAAAATTTTTCTTTCCGACAGGAAAAATTTTTCTTTCCGACAGGAAAAGTTTTTCTTTCCGACAGGAAAAGTCCTTCCTTCCGACAGGAAAAGTTTCCTTCCCGAAGAAAAGTCCTTCCTTCCGACAGGACACAAACGAATGTCCGACGTACCACCAACCGAGTCCATTCCAAAGCCAGAAGAACCGACAGCCCCAGCACCACAACAGACTAAGACTCAAACACTTACATTTTTACGCTTGACTTTTTACAATTTGAACTTTGTTTGCGTAGATGTGAATTCTGAAAGAAGTATGAGGGTCTTGTATGACTTTGTACTTCTCCCATAGTTCATGTCTGTCAAACTTACCTGCCATGGACTCTTTCATAAGTTCCATGAAATCGTCTTCGGACAATCCGGGGAAAAGTATGATATCAGTAAGTATTCTCTTTACATCCTTACTTAAACTCTTTGCTGTCTGTACACAAATGACAACTGAAATGTTAAAGTGTCTGAGCTTCTTAAGAATTCGACACATGTCTTGTTCTCTGTTCTTTAACAAAGGATGAGAAGCAAAGTCATCTAAGATAAGAAGACATCTGTGAGGGTAAGTCTTCCAATCGTAAGATTGCAATTTCTTCGAAATGTATTCTATCTCTTTCTGTTTGTTTCTGAAGTGTTTCTTCTCTAATATTCTCTGCATTTCCTCATTTGGGTCTTTAAACTTAGTTTATATACTCATTTATAGCATTGTACTTCAAAACTCTTCTTTGGTACTTCTTTATCCAATCT